TCACCCTCAGAGGGAAGAAATTCTTCCTCATGTTCAGACGGAACTTCCTGTGCTTCAGTTTGTGCCCATTGCCCCTTGTCCTGTCACTGGGCACCACTGAAAAGAGCTTGGCCCAATCCTCCTGACACCCACCCTTCAGATATTTGTAAGCATTTATAAGGTCCCCTCGCAGCCTTCTCTTCTTCAGGCTGAACAAGCCCAGTTCCCTCAATACTGCAATATAATTTTAATGAACATTATTTTTCTATCTGCTTACAAACAGTAGTTCTCCAAAGTGGCTTAACAATGCACAGAGGTAATAAACAATAAAGAGGAATAAGCAAGAGGGGTTTTTTTGTGGAGGTTTTTCTTTTTTTTTTCCTCCCCTCCTGTAAGTGCCTCATGCAGCAAGAAAGTTGCATACACATACATATGATATTTTTATCAGTCACATGGAACAGCCACAGAGGATAGGGCTCACCAGAGGAAACAAAAATTCACTTTAAGTTTAGTCACAAAAAAACCCTTCGTGCACATACACAGAATATCAGTACATACAGCTTAACCAATGTACCAATCCTCCTTTTCTTTTTTTAAGCCAAACACCAGAACTGTCATTTGAAAAAGGTAACTTTTCAATAGTCAGTCTAAATCAACTATACTTTTATATAACTATAACATTGTAACTTATTTCATTTTATGCAATTCTTCATTTTGCACCCTTTTTATCTGTACAAAAATTGGAGGTGATTTTGTTGAGAAAAGTGTAACCCTTGTCTTTTATTCTGATTCTCCCTTCCCCACGCAGAATACGAAACGGCTCAGACATGTAAACAGACCTATAAAAAGCATCAGTTAGATCTATGACATGCTGTTAGAAAATATTCTCTGTGTTTGAGTTCATTCTAGAATATAACTCACAGTAAACCTGCTATGCCTTGCATTTTGGGCATTCCTTCAGGGTTCCTGTGACTGCTAAAGAGATTTTCCACACTGTTCCCATTTTAAGCAGCAGTAACTTTTCACACTTTCTTTCATTCAGAGTAGAAGTTTGTTCCTGGGATTAAAGTTATTAACTCAATTTCACACTTCAAATAAGAAATTTCAGCATGTTGATTCCAAGTGGCGGAAGAATTAAGAGCATTTGACTTGTACCAGCTTTTGTCCGACTGCGAGACAGCTTTGCTCCTTGGAAGCAAGGCTTACATAGCCACACACAGGAATCTACTTAGCTTTAAATTTCTCTGATTTCCCAGGAGGAATAAAAGAGCAACACTACACGTCAAATACATTTTTAAAACTTAAAATAAGTTTTATAATATACCATGCTTTTCAAAGAGAATATGGATTGTACTTCTACTAATTAAAAAAAAAAAAACACTTACCAAATATGTAAAACACGTAAACCCAGCTCATATAGTAGCAAATTAAGCCAGAGAGTGGCAGAGAGACAACAGTTCCCAGCTGTGCACCTACCGAAAGAAAGCAAAACAAAGTGGAATAACAACAATTACATCTCCTGTAGACCCCTTAAACTAAGCAGGTTCAAATCCCATGGTCCCTGAATTCAACACGGTGTATGATCGGGCAAGGAAGAAGGGAAAGATGAGCAGATTCCAGTTCAGATACAAGCCAAAAGCAGTAAAAAACTACTCTTAAGTTTATAATTCAATATACATTCTGCAAAGGACAGTAGGTCCCCTCCTGCACCAAATCTAAATCAGAAACACAATCCATATTATTTACTACTTACTAACTCTATTGGTGGTAAATAGTAGACCTTGTCTCCCAGTGTTAGTCATACAATGACTTATCCAAACCTAATTTCAACTCAGAAAACATTGTATTATGTTGATACACTGGCTGCTTAGATTTCATCTTCACAGAAACAATTTTTATTTGAGGCAGAAAGCTTCAACCACGAACAACACAACCACACACTTCATGCAAAATATAAATCAAAATAACAACCACATATATGTCCAGTCATATGTTCTCTTAGAAAATCAACACGATCATGATTAAATAAACCACAGACCACATGATTGCCAGCCATGAAAATGTGGGGAAACTGCTAAGTTTACACAAGATGCCTTTTCCTTCCATGACTTAACAATTGGCAGCTCAAGGCCACGCCTCTTCTCCCTGCTACACCAGCATATAGTTTCATAAGACACAAAAGGACAGTTTAAAAGCAGATGTCAATCCCAGCTCAGTGCTCTCTATTTAACTTGTATGCTGGCTCTCACATAAAGACTTGTTTTAAAGCAGATTTAATTCAGTAATAATGCAGAAAACAGATTAAAAAAAAAAAGAAAAAAGCTTTCTGCTGCATTAGGTGGGTTACAGTGGCTCATGGAAGGGTCTGATGAGTGTCTGAAATAGCACAAAGGAAGGAATGAGACAGCTGGCTAGGAGGGAAGTGAGGAAATGTGAGGAAGAAAGGATTAACGCTTCACTCCTGTTGGCGTAAGTGAGCCACTAGAGTGGCTTAGCTGCTTGGGAAACTGTAGCCACTGTTCACATGGTATAACCTTGTCTTCTTGATGAAGCCCAGGTTGAATAAGAAAGCTGTAACAGAATTATTACTAGCAAGAGTGAGTAAAACAAACCATTACTTCATTAAGAGAATGCAAAATTTGTCATCCTCAAAGAAATTATATCAATTTTGATGAGTAAATTTAGAAAGCTACATTTTTCACCTGCCCCACGGATACTGCATTGAGCAATGTGACTGACCAATAAACCCCCCAAACACACAAAGGCTCAGTGAAGATGGGCAAGAGCAATGTGTCCATGAAGTTCAGGGAATAACGCAGGGTGTGACTGACAACAGCTGTCGCAAAGAAAACTGACTTTATCTCAGCACAAAGGGTGGCCTTTGTTTTAGATAAACAGCTATGCCAGTTGAGTGGATCAGGTGACTATATCAACAGTTGAGCTGATCAGCTGGTGGTGTAAATGTTTCTCCTGAGTTCATTAAAAGTGTGACCATCTCCCTGAGTTAGCCAGACCAGCATGAGGGCAGCGAATACGTGGCTCAGCCCAATATAAATCATAAAAACTAAACAACCAACAACAGCAATTCTTAGAGAACAGCAGACTCGAGCTGCCTTCAACCCATGTATTCCTTCCCAGCGACTGGGGATTCCCAGCTTCGTGATGGTGAGCATGTTAGAGACCAGTAATGCAAATGTGTATTACAATTGCTATATTTTGCTAAGTGTTAACTTACATTTGTACTGTGCTTTCAGTATACTTTGCATCACTCTGCTAAATCAAAAATCCTGTGTAACATCAAATATCGTCAGAAGAGTAAATTCAATATCAAACATTACACCTTCCACACACACAATATCTGAAAGAACCTGGTCAGGGAGTACTGGACTCTGACAAAGAGCTCTTGTAGCAATACCTGGGACCTTGGACATTTTCTTCCTGGAGTTCCTCCATAAACACTTAAAAAAAAACCCAGGAAAAACACACACACACCCCTCTATCCTGTGATTCTGTCCCAGCTTTTTTGTTCCTAGTAATAAATCTCCTATATTTGCAATATCTGCCATTAATCAGCTCCACGGTAACTCTTTGCACCACTGCATATCAAAGTTAGTCTGAAGTTTATACTTCGTTGCAGATGAATACCTTTTCTCAGGGTTATAAAAGCCATGAATAAATGAAGATAATGAATGCAAAGCAAGATTTAATTCAATGTTATACTTTCCAGATTAAATGCTGATTAAAATTTAGAATATAAATCCCTTTGACTTAAGTCAATCCTCCCTGTTACTGCAGTAAAAATGTATAATCCCTTTATCAGCGTGGGAATTTCTCACCTGCATACGAAATACTAAGGAGCTTGCTGCGTTCCAGTGGAGGAGCCCAAGAAGACCACATTGAATGCATAGCTGGGAAGGTAACACCCTAGAAAACAACATTTCTTTCTGTTGAACTGCAACAATTTTAGAACTCCTTTGAACTTTGCATGTTTCAAAGTATATTTCATGAAAAAGTAGTAGTACCTTCTGTTAGCTTCTCTTTTAGCAAGAAACCACTTTTTTAAAGTGTGCAAGGCATGAGAGCAAGCAGGCAGAATTAATTTCTCCTGCTTTTCATTCTGTATATGCTGGAAAAGCTGCCAGAATACAAACAATACTGTTCTGAGCTCCTGGTTTCTGACAAATGAAAAGGGATCTGTCTCAACTGTCCTTACAAACAAAACCTTTTTCTTAATCAAAAAGCTTAGGCTAAAACACAGGGCAAACTTTTCAATTATTAAAAAAAACCAAAAAAAACTAAGCTACTCAAAATGAAACAACCCATACACTACTCCAGCACACAAACACCCATAGGGTCTAATCATAGCAATTTACTAGTAAAATGTTCAAACACGTTTTCAAGTTACATAGAGAAAAAGGATTACCTCTCCAAGTCCTTCCAAGGCTCTGACAGCTATGAGGTAGCCAACTCCCAGATGTGCAGCTAAGGGAGTAAGCAAGGTGAATACAGAGGTACCAAAGATGCCAAACCCCAGTAACAGCTTCCCTCCAATTTTGCTTGCAAGATATCCTCCTGGAATCTGAGTAATGATATAGCCATAGAAAAAAGAACCAAGGATCCATCCCTGAGTATCAGCGTCCCAAGAATACTTTTCCCCCTAAAAAGAGAAAAAACCCAAATTACAGGAAGTTCAAAATAGCAGTTTCTCTGACCATATCTTATACAACTTTGATCCATCATTTAGTCCTTTACACTTAAATTACATAACTTTCATGGTCTCCTTCCTTTATACACATCTATACTGCAATCAAAGTTGTGCTGAAAGCTAATTCAGGTAGTTTAGAGTCTGTCCAGACATATCTAGCCCAAGTATGAAAATCATCACAATGTGAAATGTAAGCACTTGGGCAGTTAGCCCTTCTTAAGTTCTATGCAACTTGGGTTAGGTGACACAGGTACAGACTACGTAGCCTGCATGAGTGTGAATCCCACTTCTGTATCACAGTGTGGTCATTCTGTCATGCTCTAGGAAAATGATCCTTCCTGCAGAAAATCTATGGGCAGAAAAGCAAACGAGGAGATGCAGATGTTTAAATTTAATATAAAGAAAGAGAGCAGCCAAGGACAGGACTTGCAAGGGTAGGTGGAAGAATGGAATAAGCACAACAGAGGGAAGATGAGTTTAGCAAACAAAGTAATAAAAGCAAAGATGATCAAGACAAGGAGCCTGAAGCTATAAAGGAAGTCACAAAAAGTCAGGAACTGTTGCCCAATAAAGTGATTTTTGAAGTTTGGGATCGATTCCAAGAGTCCAATTTATGAGCATCTAAATATGCAGCATACATTTCACGGAAGTGATGAGACAGAATCATCTTCCCATATGTTCGCAGTTATAATCTGTTCGTGATAAATAATAAATGACCTCTAAAAAAGCAAACAAAACGAAGCCAGGAGTACAGCAAGAGTGCTCAGTAATAAACTTCAATTATAAGGCAAGATCTATGCAAGTGCAAATTCACAAAGCTGTTTTGTGAGGTTTTTTTAAAGCTTTTTCTCATATCTAAATGTTCTGTTCAGATAGGAAATGTGATTTTAAGGATTACTGGAAGGGAAGTCAGAGATAAAGGATATAAAAACAAGAATCACGATCTGGGAAAGAGATCAAAGAAGTAAGGAGAAAAATATTACATGTTAATTTGTAATGGAATTTCATGCCATTAGACTGTAAAAAGAGCAGGCAAATCTGGACAGCGATGTGAGCTCTGACGCAGATGTAACAGTAGCAGTTGATCACTGGCACACAAAACCGTGAGTCATAGCAGATGTACAAGGTCAGATTAGCCAATTTGTAAGGAATAGCAGAGAAAGTATGTACGTAAAAAAACCTGACCCTGAGCACAGCACTTCTGAATTAGCTAGGCATTAAGGCTATTATTTTTCAGAACAGCTCTAAAAGAACCACTGAAAAGGCCATTTGGTAAGCCTGTTCTCTTGCCACCTAAGCATGAGTCATCAAACACAGATTTATCTTAAAAAGACTTTTACACACCACTTTACAGTACAATATGTTTGAGACCTCACCGTTGTGTTGCGAGGAACATTTATAGTGGAAGAATGCTCTGGACACACATTGGAAGTCACATTCTTTGCTAAGCTTGTGTTAGGTTCTACCATATCCACCAGAGCAACGCTTAGGTTCACACGTAACGCGTACAGGAGGAAGAACCCAAAAAAGGCCAGTAGTGCTAGATTGTAGCGAGCCGAGCAGCATGCAGGGACTGAAATGAGAGTAAATGAGAAATTTTTGGTTTAACATAACCTAACAAATTAAGAACAACTGACAAGCAGTTTTTACTAATAATCTCAGAAATTTATGGGCAAGAAAAAATAGGCAAGACAACAAGCTAATTGTTCTAGTCTTAAGGAGTGGATTCAATCAGGGCAGAAGGTGAGGGTGGGGGGAAACAAAAAAAAGAAGCCCCTTTTTCTAGTGATGTGCAAAACAAAAGTAATTCTGATTCAGACAATTGGTAGCAACCCACACAAGGGTAGTGGCTGCAGTGGAAATGTGGTGTGCGGTCTGCAGAAATGGATTAAGAAACATGGTTTTCAAAAGTCCTCTCCAAAATGCAGTAGCATTTGTTCAAAGTAGAACTTCACACTAAAAAAACCCCAACAAGATTAGTGGGAAGTCAGTCATATACATGAAAACAGTTCAAGAAAAACAAAGACTCTTAAAGTAATGCTAAAGAACACTCACTGAGATCCCAGGCTGTTATCTAGCAAAAGTTTTCTTTCTATAAATTTGCTTATAAAGGAATATGGATTTGCTAACATCTGTCAAACAGAAAAGACTAGCAGAAAGGGGAATGGCAAACACTGCAGTAGCACTGTAAAACAGCAACGGTTTCCCTGTTGCTCATTGCGCCACTCTTCTGCAGTCACCATACAGTAATGAGGCTGACAAAGGAAATTGTCTCAGGCTCAACATAAAAACCTGTATTGCAGCATTAAGCTGACTGTCAGCTGTATAAACCCAGATATCGGACTTTGCACTGTAACACAGCTATTGATTCCCCTCTACAGCAGTACACTGCAGCATTTGGCAGAGATCGTTCATCAGTACCAGGAGATTCAGATCAGAGTTGAACTGTAACTTGGCCAGCACATGACCAGCGGCAAAAAAAATTTGTATCTATACAAAATACAGTTTATAGTTCTGCAGGTACTCTTTATGAACTGGGGATGCCTGAACCTACTGAGCAGAAATGTCAAATAGTTAAGAAACTACTCGAAGAATCTGCTGAATTTACAAATAGTTAGCGGGTGGAGTTTCCCCCATTGTGAGGAAACCATGGTGCTAACGGAAAATTTTATAACCTGGACATGTGAAAACTCTGGGAGGGTTGGGGGTCAGAACCTGCAGGTATTACATCAGTGTACAGTGATCTCATCTTTCTCTTGACTACTCAGAATTCAAATTATGAAGAGAATAAGTATATCTATGAACAACAGGACTGACTGGAGCCTGATCTGCTACTGCAGTACGTCTCTTGGCTGGATTCTCTGATCTGCAGTAAGAAGCAGAAAGCATGCCTGTGGACAAGCTATCTAAAGACTCTCCCCTTCCCAACAACTTCCCTGAAACAAGGAATGAGCCTATGCGATTTGTCTTTTTCAGTGGGGGCACCAACAGACCCTTCCTGCAGAACTGTATTTTTCATGAAAGTAGTAGAACTTTTCGATTTTTGAAGTCTCTAATGCTGACCAACTTTATGTGGTTCATTACGGCTGCACAAGCTGTTAAAATGACAGAGAGGCTGTATTTGCTATGTTCTTTTAGTAAATAAGTAGTAAGTGAGGCTACTGTGCAAATATGCAAAACGTCTTCCAGATCCACGGTAATTGCAAGTCTTGCCTCAGCAGCATTTGAAAAAGGCATATCCGATTTTTAAATGACTTGAAGGAGAGCAGCCAAGGTTTTATTGCTTACTTTAAAAACAATAGGCACCAAGAGCAGGAAGTGCTTACTGCACAAAAATTAGTCAGGCAGCTTCATTGTCCTTCATTGTTATTTAAAAAGCAACTTCTCTTTAAGTAGAAAATGTATAGTCATATAATTTGTAACAATTAATATAATTACAGGTAAAGCTATTTAACCTTTCCACTGCCTGTATTTGCTGGGGTTAAACAATAATAGCAGAACGCTAAACATCACACTGATGAAGTAACCCTTCCTTGGAAATTCAGATTAACTGGAACATCCACTACTCTTCCTCTGGAAGCCTCTTACTGGCGTACACCTTGTCTGGAGAGCAAGCTCCACAGAACAGATGCGTCAGAACTGAAGATCTCTAATATCCGATTTTTTTTTCAACTGCAAAGAATTTATCATAAAAATCCAACAAACATGTAGATCTGTAGGTCTGAAACAAACGGCTGCTAAATTACTGCTTCCTTGTCTTTCCACCAAGTCCATTTGCAATACCTGAGAATATTAGATCAAGTTAACAGAACAAAAGATTCGAGAAGGTTCCAGACGCATTTCAGTCACCCACCTCTTCAGGAGACTGCCGTAATCAGAGACACAGACATTCACCCCACTAAAGTTTAAGGCAGCTAACCATGAAGTTCAAGGTCCTACCTTCACTGGCAGTCTTGGGTCTTGCATCTGTCGTTAATTCTGATTTTGGGGGCATGTTTTATAATACCGCCGCTATAAGTGAACAAGATTCTCAAACTGCAGATAAAAAAAAATCGGTCTGTGCTGCAACTGGCACAGCAGTTAAAGGAAGTTTCTCTTCTGCTGTATTTTTCCTCATGGGTGAGGTGAACCACCTAAACCAGAGCACGATGCATTGTGCAAGCTTAAGAACGCATTGCTTTAATAACCAACCCCAACTAAAATTTGACTCTTCTGTCACTTGTGTGTCACTTTGTTAGCAACCCCCCTTGCTGCAGTTGCCCATTTCCCAAGCAGGTTAGAGTATTTTTGCATGGCATACTGAAGAAACTTAAAACCTTACTTTACTGCTTATAGTTTGTATATTCTGGGAAACCAAACAGCACAGACAACACCCCCCGAACACGCTGGCCCTGTTGTTAAGCCCTGACCCCATAACGATCCCCCTCCCCTGCAGTCATCTCTGTGCCTTCTCCCACCTCCCTCTCCAGGCTGCTGCGGCAGGCAGTCGGCCTCACTCAGACCCCGTCCCAACACGAAATTCCG